AATGATTCAACAAGTCCAATGAACAATCAATGTGGGGTAAAATATTTGTAAATGAGTCCGAGTCATTCCCCACAATTGAATGTTTGCTTGTCCCCACTTATACATATTTTGTACGTAACTTAATCATATCTTATTTTGCTATGTTAAGTAATACAACCTTTTGGGCCTTGTGGGTTTTCATATAATTAAATGTTTTCGTAATACCATAGGTCCAAAATTGAAAGTATATCAACTATCATATGCAAAAAAAATGTTTGGTGTATGGCACAAATTATAAATAATTTTGTTCAACATAAAATCACCGACAATCATAGATGAGATTATCTTCAACTCGTAATTAAACACATTAGTTTTACAATTCTCGAATGATAACATCCATGTAAAATCAAAGTTCATCCACCATACAAGATAAACACTACTACCATTATCACTCCTCCTCATCAGGCTCTACATCCACATAAGTCTCATCATTCTCATCAGAATTGTCATCGAAATAGTCTTCTTCCACTTGTGACATAGCATGAGAGCTTCCACTAGGTCCTGCATGAGAGCTTTCACTAGGTCCTGCAGGTGCACTTGCACTCCGAGCTTGAAAAGCTGCAAATATTGGATAACATAAACAATAACAACTTGTTAGAATATGACTTGATCAAGATAACAAATATAAGAATAAATAGAAAGATTAAGTCCTTACCATTTTGAAATACCACTTCATCACCCTCATCTTCTCCATCAGCCACCAACTCGGAGTCTGAAGATCTTATCCAATCTTCACAACAAATCAAAGCCTCCACAACTTCAGGGGATAAGGAGGTCCTAAATGAATCTAAAACTCGACCTCCTATGCTGGATGCCGATTCAGAAGCAAAAGTGGAAATAGGAACAGTAAGAATATCCCTAGCCATCTCAGAAATAGTAGGATATTTCATCCCACTTCGCGACCACCATCCCAAGATGTCAAATTTGTACTCATCCTCTTCTGAACCCACCAATGCTCGTGTAACCACTTCATCCTCCTCCTCCTCCTCAAGGTACCTATCAAACTCAGATTTGGAACTTTTTCTAGTTCCTTTCAGAATGGCCTCTCTTTTCATTTTCCTGAAATCACCCCAAATCTTCATTTTCTTCTTCCCATCCCCACTTCCACTAGGTTCTTGCTCATCTTCCTGAATCACAATGGGAGAACCACCATGAAGTCCAAGCCTATGCTTGTAATGGTCAAACAGAAGACGCATTTCATCTTTCACCTCTTCGACCAAAGCTTTGCCCATACTCTCACCATATACCTTCTTCAAAGCTTGTTCAAGATATTCAACTTTCCGCCTAGGATCTAATATGACTGCCATATAACACAACCGATTCATCTTGGAATTCTCCAACTCATCTTCAAACCAATACTTGGCAAGTTTGGACTTGATTCTACCAGCCATGCAAGACACCTCAAAATCTATACCATTAGCCCACTCAGATATCATAGTATACATTTCACAGATCTCATCAAACAAGATGTGTGAAGTCACATATGAAGTCCCAGAAACTCGAACAGTCAAATCATAGAAGAGCTTCGGGTAATCAATCAACCGTCCCACAATAGACCAATCATCAGAAGTTGTGATACCAAGGCTTTCCTTTCCATATTTTTTTTCATTGAGATGTTTCTTGAATTTCTTATCATTTCTAGCTAATGTCTGAAATGCTTTCTCAAATGGCTTTGCAGATTCCAACATCAGATACGTTGAGTTCCACCTTGTAGCTACATCCAACGAAACAAATTTCTTCGACACTATCTTTTCAAACTCAATGCAATCTTTGAATTTTCTGCTCCTAGTTGGTGTAGATTTAACCCACTTCACAGATTCTCTCACTCGCTCCAAAGATTTACCAGTTTCTTTAAGCCCATCCTTCACAGCCAAATTAATAATGTGAGCCACACACCTCATATGCAGATACTTGCCATCCAAAATATCTGATCCCCATTCTTTCAACTGTTCCCTCATATGGATAGCAACCACATCATTGACACTAGCATTGTCCATTGTTATACAAAACACCTTCCTAATGCCCCACTCCACCAAACAACTAGCCAACTGTTTTCCAATTTCACTTCCAGAATGTTTTGTAACTTGGACAAAGTTAATAATTCTTTTATGCAATTTCCAATCTCTACCAATGAAATGAGCAGTAATGCACATATAATTGAGATTGGACAAAGAAGTCCAAGTATCAGTGGTGAGCGAGACCATCCCTAAACACTTAGTCTTGAAATAGTCCTTCAGCAACTCTCTATTTTCAAAGAACACCTTGATACAATCCTCTCTAACGGTTTGACGGCTAGGTAACACAAACATTGGACAAACACAAGCCATAAATAGTTTGAACCCTTCATGTTCAACATACCTAAATGGTAATTCATCTATGATAATCATCTCCGCTAAATCTCTCCTAGCATCAATCTGATCGAATTTCCAAGTGCCAAGAGTGTGTACCTGGCCTCCAGAAGATGATAGATGGTCGACTATCAGCTCACCCTTTTCTATCTTTTCCAAACAACTATCTTTATGATTCCGCAGAGTAGAAGTCCCATATCTAGTGGGAGCAATAAGAACACCATTGCAATTAATGCATCTTGCTTTGTCCACTCCATCCTTCTTAAAACGTTTGAAGTGTGGCCAAACGTCATTTTTTTTTTTGAAGTTGTCCCCTCATTTGTTGTTTGGCAGGAGGTACATTGGTGGTACCAGTAGACAGTGTAGGAGCAGGAGTAGGATGGATGATGGTGCAGGAGGTATAGGAGGAATGTCGGTACTCTTAGAGCGCCCTCCAAGTTTAGGACGAGAAGCCGATGGTGCCTCACTCTCTCTGCCAAATATAATAAATTAATTAGCCAAAGTGCAATAGTGTAAACACTAAACAGGAATTCTGATGCATGTAATTCTTGAAAGTTCCCTAGTTAAAATATACCTATATTTTTTTGTGGTTGGTTATCATGAGTTAAAAAAAACACAGTAAAATCTTCTGTAATATCATCCATTACAAAAAACAAAACAAAACAAAGACCTTACTTTGCAGCCTATAATTAGTTAATTAATTTGTCAATCTATATATGTTTCTCTTCTGTCCTCAAAAGAGATAGGAAAAAGGAATAACAACTCAGCAAGCAACCTGTTTCATTCATTCATTCATCATCAAAGCAAGCAAGCAATTAGTCTCATTCAAAGTCTTCACTCTCACATTAGATTATTAGCTCTCTTCATCACCCCCCAAGGCCACAATATAAATAAACCCCATCCCTCCCCCCTCATGTTTCCTTCCACAAATCAGTTCCCCATAAAACCAAACACTCTCTCTTAACTCCTTACTGGGATTCAACCAACAGCTGCCCCTATAACTTACTGTTCTTTGGTTTCAATGATCTCTTACTAAACCTACTCTACTGTTCATAACTCTGAACATCAGAACATCCACTCAAGAATCCCAAATTGGACCAAATGCACGAATCAACTAAAGGATATTCCAATGCTATTACTAAAAGGAAATCACCCCACTAACCAAATCAATTAAGCAGAAGAACAGGATGCAGAACATGATGTAGTAGAAAGATTAAGTACATAACAGTTCTAATCCAATAATAAATATATTAACCCAATCATGGAAAGACAGTGAAACTTGACAACTACCAACAAGACAAACGATTGCATTACCACAACTCACAACCACCACCTATGCAATATCCATTAATCTATCCAATTACAAAATTAACAACAAATCTGGAGACACTTTCTCTTAAAGGAAACAAACCCATTTCTTCTAGCCATCCTTGAGATTAATCCCAAAGCCATAACAGGATCTACATAAGCATTAAGCACTAGAAAACGACAATATGAGATGAATATGACTTACTGGGATGCCATAGGTCTCAGTTCTGACTCTGGTTTGCCAATGAAAAGACTGGGGGAAGCAATTTGGGAAGAAGAAAATCAAATGCAGATGGGTAGCTGCCTTGCTGGGCAAATCGACAATTTCAAGGTCTCGAACCCAAATGGCGGCTACAGAAACCTAATTGAAGCCTCGAACCCAGATGGATTGCTGCATTGCTGGGGGGCGGAGGGAAGGCGAATCGGGAGATGACGAAAATGTAGGCGAGGGAGAGGACGGCGAAGGCGATGTCGGAGATCCCCTCGAGGCCGTTGGCAGCGAGGACGTTGATGGCGGTGAGAAGTTGAACTGGTAGAAGGTGAGAAGGGAGGCTCTGTTTCGGCGAAGCCTCGAGCAAGAATTGATTCTCCTCTGTCGCAAATTCGCAAGGAGATACTCGAACCCTAGAGGTCCACTTATCCAAAAAAACGTCACCTTTTACTCCAATCACAACTTTCGGGTTTTTCGGGTTTTTATCGGTTTTCGGTTTACATCAAAATCGAAACCGCTAACTATTGCTTCGGTTTGGAACCGAAAAACTGAAACCCGGCGCCAGTGTTTTCGTTTCGGGTTCGGTTTAACCCGAAAACCTGAAACCAATTGGACAAGCCTATTCATAACTGGATTTTATTATTAGACCACGCGTTACCGAAAATTTATGTAACACTATTTTATAACACTTACAAGCAATACAAATACATTACCGTAACTAGATTATTATTAGACCACATGTTACTGACGATTTATGTAACACTAAGTCTTCTATAATGACTAAGACACTACGTAACACATAATTATATTTCTTGTGTATCTGTTAAACAATCTTATGACGTAATTCATTCATAATATATAGATATCACATAAATGTTAAGTAAATATCTTACCCAAATGATTTGATTTTCAACTAAATTCTCAAATCAATGAATAAAATTTTAAATATAATTTCTTTTTCATCGCTGCGAAAAGCGGGGAAAAAAAACCAGTATTTTATAAAACCACAAACAAAGATTCCCAAAAGTTGAAACAAAATTATAATAGGCCGTATATACAGGCTGGCAGTAGTTGCACAGCCCACCGGGCGGTGTATGAATCATAACGCATTGCTTTTTGCTGCGCTAGCAAAACACAAACTGCGAAGTCGAAGCACCTTTTCCGCGCAAGCCAAAATCCTTTCTTCTTCCAGACCCTAGAGCTAGATTGAGCCGACGTAGTACGGGTGGGTTACCACGGTGCAATACAGAGACCGGCGAAATGAGCGTGATCGACATCCTAACGCGAGTCGATGCGATCTGCAACAAGTACGACAAATACGACGTCGAGAAGCAGAAGAATCTCAATGTCTCCGGCTCCGGGGACGACGCGTTCGCTCGCGGTTACGCCGCCGTTGACGCCGAAATCGAAGCCGCTCTTGAGGTGACTTTCGTTTTTCTTCCTTTCGTGCTCCGCCGCCTTTTTTCTTTCCGGTGATCAATTCAGGTTTTCCTTGCTAGTTGGAGTTGAGGCGTAGGGATCTTCGAATTTGTCGAGTTGAGTTGAAACAGTTTCTGCTCTTTTCAGTTCTAGCTAAAATTAGATTCAATTACTAAGTGTGGAGGTTGTTGTATCTCTACTTGTTGAGGGATAGCGGATCGTGAAGTTCTATTTGAATTGGCCTTCATTTTGCTAGTTTTTCATTTCAGAAAGCGGAGCTTGCTTCCAAGGAGAAAAGCAAGGCGTCCAATGTAGCTCTCAATGCCGAGCTCCGTCGGACCAAGGCGAAATTGCTCGAGGAGGTTCCAAAGTTGCAGAGGCTTGCAATAAAGAAGGTATGCAATTACAATGGTTTATATCTAAGTTGTCGGCTTCCCGCTGTTTGAATCGAGAAATCCATATGAATAGCTGAAAGTTGTTCTCTTGCCCTTTTCTTCCGCTGAATGAAGCATCGTCTTGGCAATGCTGGATTGTAAATCAGGAACTACTGTTCTATCGGGTTTTGTTAGTGGAGAGTTTGACATCTGTAGCAAAATTTCGGTCCAGTTATCAAATTTGCCCTTGCGGCCACCATTTTATTTTTGTTTGTGAGGCCTCCGGAAGATATAAGTGCAAGTCCCTAGGTTTTTTCCCCTTCCGTTTCTGTTCGTGTGTAACAAAGGGGATCTATTGGTTTTGTCAGCGAATCTCAAGTAGAAATGTTCTTATTCCCTTTCTTCTTGTCTTATGTGCCATCTATTGACAGGTAAAAGGCCTTTCGACAGAAGACTTTGCAGCCCGCAATGACTTGGTGCTTGCATTGCCAGATAGAATCCAAGCTATTCCAGACGGTTCTGCAGCTGCAGCAAAACAACCTGGAGGTTGGGGGCCCTCAGCTTCCCACACAGAAATCAAATTTGATTCAGGTAATTTAAGCATCTTGTTCATCTTATTATCTACTATTGTCGCGTGATTCCTCTTTTTTGCCCCGCACCCCTGCCTGTAAATGGGAGTTTACCAATGAGGCACAGCTCACTGATGATTGAGGTGCATTTTCCTTACACTTTAATGTTGTTTGTAGATGGTCGGTTTGATGATGAATACTTTCAAGAATCTGAGCAGTCAAATCAGTTTAGGCAGGAGCATGAAACACGTAAGAGGAGGCAGGTAAGTGAAAATATACATGGTGCAGTGAAATTCTGAGGTTCCTCTCTTCATAAAATCTTCATATATCTTAGTATTGTGACCAATAAATTTAAAACAGGATCAAGGTCTGGAGATGATTTCAGAAGGTTTGGATACTTTGAAAAACATGGCTCATGACATGAATGAGGTAGTAGTTTTTCCCTACTCTCTTGTTTCTTTTCTTCTCTTCACTTTCCTATCGACATAAAATGGATAGTGATGCATGCAAGTGTTTGTTAAGCGAGACACAGACGCACCATTTTAGTCATTTTGCTCACTTGTGTATATATTAAGGCCCAGGTTTAATTGATCTTATGTGATCCTGATAGGAACTGGACAGGCAAGTTCCTCTGGCTGATGAAATCGATTCCAAGGTAAGTAGAATTCTGATTTCATAACATTAAAATTGAGACTTGCAGACATGCTGTTGAATTTTGAGGTTCTGTCCTCTGGTTCTTTCAGGTGGACAAGGCAGCTTCTGACCTTAAGAACACCAATATTAGACTTAAGCACACTGTTACTCAGGTATGATTTATATGTTTGTTAAAGATTTTCAATCTGCTGCTACCTGTTCTAGCTTCCTTGCTTTAACTGAAAAGATCTTTGATCTACAGTTGAGATCCAGCAGGAATTTCTGCATCGATATTGTTTTGTTGATCATAATCTTGGGCATCGCTGCTTATTTGTACAAGTAAGTTGCTGCCTACCTGATCAACAAGCTTATATTAGTTTAGATGTCCACAAGTTGCCTAAAGTATGAAAGCATGGATTTTTGCAGTGTACTGAAGAAATGAAACAAAGGGGTACTGTTGATGGACTTATCTCACGTTGTGATATGTTTGGCTTTCCTTTGCACTGTAATGTACCTCAATGACTCCGCTTGCTTGCCTTCCGTGTTTGGCTTGTCAATCCTGTTTATGAGTTTTCTGGCGCCAACTTGAATGTACCTTTCTTGTGTAAAGATCTCAGAAGTCAGTCATATATGTATTCAGTTATCTTCTTTCCTGTTTGTCGAGCAGTAAATTATTTTGTGATCTAATTTTCCCATATTATCTCTGACTTACGTCTAGTTTAAGTGAAATGGTCTAGAAGCAGAAGCAGAAAAGCGCGAGTTCTAGAAGAGACGTATCTTATTATATGTCTCGGTGGCAGTTGAGGGTCACTAAGTTGAATATGATTTCCTTATTAGATCACTGGGTTGAGGATTCCTGCATCTAGAGGTACAATATTTCTGACTTTGTAGTAAACCAGTGAGTGTAATCTCATGCCAAGCAATCTGTACAAAAAGTATAACTGGAGTACATGGCATAAAGTATATAACATTTTCTTTTGAAACGATTCTAGTGATTCTTCATATGTCTCGGTTATATTTAGACCCTTCTCCAGCTGAGGCCACTCATGTTGACGTTGTGATGAATTCATTCCTTCTGACTGATGAGGTCTGTAAGGATTACTGTTCAAATTGATCCTAGGAAATGCGCTGTATATTATTGCCTGATAAGATCAACCGCATATTTTATTTGCCTTTTGGATATTTACCATATCTGTGTGGGCTGTAAAAGTATTAGAGATATGGTTGCTCCTCCCAGAAAATTACTGTTACAAAATTTGTAGAAATTCTAGGACCTGACTTTTCTGCGTAGTAGTTGCTAATGATCTTCTGGAACAACTCTCAACATAAAAGAGTTTTCCTTTTGTACTCGATGAAACCGATTACTACAAATTATGTACCTTTTATCATGGTGGGTCCTTCTCTGGTGTCTAGTTGGTTGCTCTGAAACTTAAAGTTACGAAGCTATTCATATTCTGCCTAATGGGTTTGCTGTAGAGCACCATCATTAGTGTTCTAAAACTGATCGTCTCCACAAAAGTTGATATCGAAGGTATCCTCACATATAGATATCATCGTATCTTCGTCGAAATCTCCATTTTTAGGCTTCTTGCCTAGGTAAAAACTAGAATCCTGCTGCTGATGTTCTCTTCCAACATCTTTGCGCTTCAGTGGGTTAAAGAAGTTATCTAGCGAAGTAACTGATGAGAATTGCAGGTTCTTATCATCCGAAGAATCTTCCTCATAACCTGAAATGCTTGACTTCTCACTGCCTTGAAAGTTTATGCTGGATGCTGGTTGTTTAGTGGTGCAGGAGGAAAAATCTTGAGATGCAAATATGTAAGGCAGCATTGGGCACTCCTTGTAGAGGTAATTCTTCACCGCGTCGTCATTAGGGTTCGTGAAGTAGTTCTTCACAATGTCATCATTATTAAGGTTGTTTGTATTCCCTGGCTTGCCCACGTGATTATTGTTGACAATTTCGATGCTAGGAGTGTGCTATTCATTGTCTTGCATAGATTTGCAGTCATTTGCAGCAGCTCATTTTGTTTTGGGAAAGTCCCTGCTAGTTCTTTAAGAGGAGCACTTGGATCTTCCCAAAGGCTCCTAGGGCTACTACACTTTTGCCTAACCCGGCATAGGACCCAGTCGTCTAACTGCAAGGATGAGGGGGAGGGGGTGGTAAAAAGAGGGGAAGGAGTTGTGAGTTTTGAGAGAATATGAATAGGGAAAAGAGATTAAAATGAAGGGTGTATTTATTGTTACTTACCCTCATGGACCCTTTTTGCCTGGCAGTGGAGACCACAGTATCAGGCAGCCTATATTCATACATGATCCAGTCAGTCTTAATTCCCTTAGGAGGGCGGCCTTTGTAGAAGACAAGAGCCTTCTTGACACCGACGCTTGACATTGCAGTTGAGGTAAGAATGGGCTTGTCTGTCCCGGTTGCCTTCCAATAGCCTGAAGCTGCTGCCCTGTTGGGGCGGGCTCCGTTTGGGTACTTCCTGTTCCTGGGTGTGAAGAAGTACCATTCGTCCTCTCCAAAGAGCGCCTTGCCTGATTGTTGCATACACGGAAAGTTAGGAAGTAGGAAGCAGAAAAGGAAATGGAGAAGTGGGGAATTGGCATTCCTTTCATAGCAGTAAGGAGGAGGGAGGGGAGTAATAATAATAGCAATACGTACTTGGTAGGTCCCATGGGTCGTACTTGTAGAGGTCGATCTCGGCAACAATGGAAGCTGGTAGAGGAGCTGATCGAATTCTGTTGTTCAAGTACTGAACTATGAGTTCTTCATCGGTTGGGTAGAATCGAAAGCCCGGGGGTAGATGGATGTCTGACCCGGATTTGGTTTCCATTATGGGAGGGAGGTTAGAATAGAAACAGGGTGTTTCTGTTGAGGTTTAGAAAATGGTGGAAGGAAGGGTTTGGACTTTGGAGGGAGTTGTGTTGGAGTGAAGGTGTATAATATTTATACAAGGCGTTGGTCTCCTTCCTTGTGCCGGCACGAAAATGGAAAAAGAAAGAGTTGTACTTGTTCTTTTTATGAATTGGTCCAGGGGAGGAAGGGAAGCAGAGTGGGAAGGTTTGTGGCATTGGAAGTGACTCAATGTTGTGGCCTAACGACAGGGTGGATGTGGTTAGTGCGGCTCAGCCAGCCAGCCCCCTTGGGAACAAGTACAAGACAAGACGGGGGCTTGAGGAGTTGAGGTGAGCTGTTTTGTTTTCTGCGCCATATTATATTATATATGCCACTAGGGTTTCCCATCATTTTATTTATCTTTTTCCCACTATCCTATCCTAGTCTAGTTTAAGATAGAATTGAACTTAGGGGTTGTTACTGAATACTAGTTTAGTTTAGGTCTCCCTCCCAATCCCATGCATTCCGTTTAATCACACAATGCCTGGATCAGGCATCAATTGTGGTTAAGCTCATCTCTAGTTTTCTATACTCGCATGGTTGTTTGATTTTTAACCACGTTTTAAAATAGCAAGTCGGTTTAACCCATCCCATGCCCATTAACAATTTGTTGTACCCACTTCAGATTGCCCCTTCATATTCTACTTGGGTGGAACTGAAACTTCCAATGTAGAGGGAGGGAGGGATGGGTTTATCCTTAGGAATATTGAGAGTAAAAAATTCTTGTGCCTATGCAATTCCAATAAATTGGAAAAAGCATAGGATTTGGAGGGAGGCCACTTTGTTTTGTTGCCTTTCACCTGTCTCTTAACTAATTCCAGCGCTGGCTGAACGACATGGTAGTGCGCAAGGCATTTTCTTTTCCCAAAAATAAAGTAAAAAAATCAATGAAGAAAAAGGTTGAGTTATTCGTTAATTAACCACCCGACCGGAAGTTTAAAACCATTTTGTCTCATCAATACTCAATTCAATTGGCTCGTGATTGCATCCAAGGTTTTCCTTATTATAATGATTGATAATAACAACAATTTCAAATCTATGTGGCACCATCGGATTGCACAATGCCATGGGAAGCAAATCATCATCCCACAAGCAGAGACGGTCCAAAGCCCAGAGTGGAGACAAAAAAGATCCTTTCAGTAAAGGAATTGGTCTGCAACCGATCCAGTTGGCAGAGAGAGAGAGAGAAGAGTAACAACAATATGCCTGTCCTCCTGTCCATCCATTATCAACAATAAAATCATCATTTTGAGAAATTATTGTTTAACCTAAAACTTTGTTGTATTATTTACGTGGAACGATACCAGCAATGGAGAGGAGAAGGAGTATAGTTAATATATATAATAATAACGGCTAAAATTACACGTTTGGTCACTCAAATTATACAAATCTTTCATGTTTGCCACCCGAATTACTTTTCTTTCTTATTCGCCACTAACTTTACGAATCGTTTCACGGTTGGTCACCGGCCGTTACACTTCGTTAAGTTTGTCCTACGTGGCAGTCAACTATAAAGTTGGACCGTTAACTAGATGACGTGGAAATTAAAAAAAATATAAAAAAAAATAAAATTTTCTTTCCACCTCATCATTGCACTTATTTTTTCTATATAATTTATCATATTAATAATTTAATAAAATTTAATAAATTATAAAAATGGGCAAATCCAAATGCTCATCATCCTCACCCTCACCATCCACTCCATCGTTCAATCACCAGACTATCTCCGGCATCAAGTCCAAAGGCGTCCGCCCCGACCTCATCGGATCCATCGTCGCTCACTACGCCTCCAAGTGGCTCCGGGAGCTCTCCTTCTCCTCCTCCTCCGTCGACGTCGACAACAACGTCCCTGCCGTCGCCACGACCGGCTCGGAAGAGAGCATGACCATACCAAGATGATGTTGATGACGACTTTAGTGCCTTAATGGAATGCGTATGATCGGCTCAGAAGTAGGGATGACAATGGGTCGGGTCGGGGACGGATAGTGCATATCCGTTACCCTACCCAAAGTAGTTCGGGTTTTACCCATGCCCATACCCACATGTGAAACGGGTAGAAAATCAAAACCATGCCCATACCCGTTCGGGTTTCGGATATCCACGGTTATCCATGGGTAATAATTTCTCTTCATAACTCCAACCAATATGTTAACATTCATACGTATTCTCACATTACGTAAGAGGAAAAGTACGACAATACTTCACGAGAATGAAGAAAATTAATTAAAACAACAAAATTTCATGAAAATATTATTTATATGATAAATAGAAAATATGTTAGTAAAAAATAATGATTATTTCTAGACAAAATACATGTGCATGTGTATAATCGGGCGGGTTCGGGTTGGATAGTGTGAAACTCATGCCCACCCATTACCCGCAATATTCAGGTTCGGGTTTTACACATACCCACTAAATGTCCTTCGAGTTCGGGTTTTACCCTACCCGATTAGGCCGGATTCGGGCGGATATCCACGTTATGGATATTTTTGCCATCCCTACTCAGAAGAGGCCATAGTAAAGGCGTATGATAAATTAGTCTCAGTCCATGTGGTTGCAGCTGTTGCAGTGTCTACATGGTCTTTTAGTGCCTTAATGGAATGCGTGGGTCTATTGGAACCCGGGTAGCCAGGGCCATATTGTGACGATGATGATGTTGATGACGACTTTTTGGCAACTACAATGCTTCTGGATGAAGTGAATTGAGAGTGGGATGATCCATGTTCGGAGCTGCTACAGAAGAGCTTCTTGGGAGGATCAGAACAGTAATGGAAGGACGAAGGCAGGAGTCTGTTTCCTGCAGGTGAGTCCAATGACTGCAGTGGTGGCCATCATATGGCTTCTTCCCAGCACCCTCAATAACCATTACAAGTTTTCTTCCCCAACATGAAATTTGGCGGTGGAAACTTAAAACCCTTTGAGTTGCTTTCTATATTAGTTCTTCCACAGTGGGAGAAACCAAATCAGTAGGGCTCAGCAGAAATCAATGTTTTCCCCCTCCTAATTTGGTGATCAAACATAGAAAAAGAATGAACACAAGCCACTCTCCAGCTTCATATGTGTAAATAGCTTCTTCTACAATTAAGACAAACATGTTAATATTTTACACAATGGCATGGTAAACCAAAATCCAGCTCATGGGATAGCTAAATGAAAGTGAAAGAAGCACATAATTGGAGTGGTTTGTTAGCACATAGAGTTGAACTCTAATGGGCAAATATGCATATATACATGCAGCAGCTTGGAGCTTGTCTCCAATTATGTCATCAGAACTCAAATCTCATGTTTCAAAATTTTTTAATCGTTTCATAAACGAGTGGGAAGTGATTAGAATGAGAATCAGAAGCTGGGTTTTGATTGACAAGCATACACTCAGCAAATGTTAAAGGATCGAAATGAATCGCATAGTGGCTGGTAGCAAGAGGAAGAAAGAAAGAAAGAGAGAAAGCCAAGCTGGTGCAGCAGAGATGAGTTTGAGATGTGAAATGGCAACATACCTGATGGAGAACGGAAACTGAATTTCGATCAACAGCAGCCTGAGAAGAGGAGAAGCCGGAAGAAGGGAGATGGCGATGAGCACAGAGAGGAACAAGAACCTCTCCTTGTTTCTCGTTCTGCTACGTTCGCCTGTCAGCAAGGCTGTAACTGCTTTGTTATCATGCTCTCTTCCGAGCCGGCCACGGCGGCGGCAGGGACGCTGTTGTCGACGTCGACAGAGGAGGAGGAGAGGGAGAGCTCCGGGAGCCACTTGGAGGCATAGTGAGCGACGATGAAGCCGATGAGGTCGGGGCGGACGCCTTTGGACTTGATGCCGGAGATAGTCTGGTGATTGAACGATGGAGTGGATGGTGAGGATGATGAGCATTGGATTTGCCCATTTTTATAATTTATTAAATTTTATTAAATTATTAATATGATAAATTATATAGATAAAATAAGTGCAATGATGAGGTGGAAAGAAATTTTTTATTTTTTTTTATTTTTTAATTTCCACGTCATCTAGTTAACGGTCAAACTTTATAGTTGACTGCCTACGTAGGACAAATTTAACGGAGTGTAACGGCCGGTGACCCAACCGTGTAACGATTTCGTAAAGTTAGTGGCGAATAAGAAAGAAAAGTAATTCGGATGGCAAACATGAAAGATTTGTATAATTTGAGTGACCAAACATGTAATTTAGCCTAATAATAACAATAACAATAACGGTGAGAATAATCGGAACGAAACTTAACATTGGCGCATAGTTGCTTAATTCGGTTTTATTCTAACTACACAAGAGTGATTGATTAATAATATCTTCTTAACCAATAGACTCCAATATTTGAAGCTAACAGGACCGTTCAAAAACAACAAACATATACGCAACACAACCCAACACTTGTTGATAACCAACACTACTATATATTTTTCTTAATCATTATATACTAATCTCCTAATCTAATTAATTGTTTGCCGGTAGGTGCTGACGAATGTTCTTCCTTCCACTCTTGTTTGGAGTTATTCGGTATATTTTGTACTATTATTTTGGAATTATTATGAAATAAGTCTTGTTTGCAACCCCCTTCAATGAATTTTGGTTGGGTAAATCCGACCTATGTTTTGTTTTCGGTGCCCACATAATTACAGTAAAAAGTTCATTGATGAAACTTAAGATGCTAGTGTGGAAAAGCTGTGTTCATAAACCGCGAGGAGGTTGCAGTTAGTGGAGAAACGCCACTCTCTTGGACGATTAATCAAGGAATGTTGAATTAAACTAGGAAAATAGCTCTCTTGACTAATCGACTGATGGTTGCTAAGACCAGTCACTCAGAAACTAATCCGAAATGGCGAAATAGTAACCAATCATGGTAGGTTCATGACACTAAATCGATATTTGAGGATTGCCCAAAATTGACCTAGATGGGGTTACCCAATTGGTCAAAAAATCCGGCTTCTTAAGGCCCAAAGGGGGATTTCATACACCTAGGTCAATTTTGACCTAACTTTGAAATATGCAGTACAACAATCAAGAATAATGAAAATTAC